TTTATCACTTGCATTCAAAGACATATAAAAAGAAATTGCATAACCATGCAAAACCTCATGTTTGACCATATATGTTGACAACTAAGGACTTTAGCTGTAATCTGCCTCTCTTTCACTGTCTGATACAGATGCAGACTTGAAAGGAGCAAGTATAGCATGCTCTGCCAGATGTTGCTGTGTTGGCTTCTATGTGCTGCTCATCCAATGCTGATGCAGCTAATACCTCACTTTACCTTGTATTTCTTTCCTTCCCTCTGAATTTATTCTCTTTAATAAAGAGATTCTGACTTTCTCTGTCCTTTTCAGTTTAATACAAGTGGCTCATTAATGCTGTTGATAAATTGCTTTAAATGCTGAAAAAAGTGCTGCTATTGCAATGCTTAAAATCTTGGTTGAGAATAAACTCACTGCTGGTTGGGTGTGGATAAGCAGGGAACACAGATATGGAGTGAAACTAACTTGCATGAACATAATTTGTATTGATGGAAAAAGAAATAGAAGAAATTCAGTTTGGATTGTTTTTATTCTCATTGAATGATAGAACTGAAGGAATTTGGAGTATGAACTTTTTCAGCCTCTGCAGTGGGAAAAAGGTCTGAGAACCACTGAGCTTGTTAATAATTGTAGCTTTGCTGCTCTACACTTCCCATACAACACCTGTTCAAACTGTCTTGAGATTACAGTCTTCTTTCCTAGCCCCTGGGCTAGAGCTATTACTAGTTCTCCAGTTGTCAATCCCTTATTTTTGCAAGCCTAGCAAAGTATAAGCGGGTGAAACCAGCCGTAGGTGGTGTAGCTCCAGGGTTAGAAAACTTTTCCTCCCTGTTATAGATTTTATTTTTATGTTTTTTTAACATTAGAACATTAATGTGTTCCATTTCATACATGAGTTGGAGCTTATTCCGTTGAGTGTACTTTTTTTACATAAGCACTGGCACAGTGTGTGTTTGCAACCTGAGCTGTCAGAGTTTTACTGTTGTTTTAAGTCTTCTTCCTTTGTAATAAAGTCTCTGAGAAGCTGTGGAGCCCCAGAGCCTTAGAAATAGCCTTGTAACATTTCTAAGACTGATGTCTTTCAATCGCCCTCTTCCTCATTGTGTCTGGAGAGCTTTAGATTTTGATATTGTGTTCTTCTAGGCGATCTTTCAGCATACTTAAGTGTAGCCACGGCCCTTTAGCTGAGGTCCTGTTTTGAAGCCTTATTGTGAGCTTTTTTTACCGTCACCATCCTGTTTAGTTAAATCACGAGTGAGAAGTGGATCTGACTAAGAAAATGAGGACACTCAATACGCTTAAGTTAGCATCTTGTCAGTTAAAGTAGTTCTGTGCTAAATCGTACCCTATTTCCATTTTAGGACTATAAGTTGTAAATTATATGTGCTATAATGTGTATAATCTGTTGTATTAAATGTGACTTAAAATAAAAAATGTGACTTTTTAAATGTATTTTTATTGAGGTTATAGATCAAATGAGCTGTAGGGCCTTTATTACAATTAGAATTTTTGCAAAAAAAAATTTATAATTTGGGGGTTAACTAAGAGGGCAAATAAGCCTACTTCTCCATACAAGCTGTAATGATTCAATGTTACGAGTGTTGTCCAGCAGTTTTACTATTAGTCTGTTCTAACAAAGCCCAGATAACCTTTTTTGCTTATGTAAATACAGGCATCCTTTAAAACTTGTGTTTTGTGACTACTCAGGTTGCTTTTTTTTATGCTAAATTGTGTTTGAATATTTGATGCAATTTATTTTGAGATGTGAGCAGAAAAACTGGTGTCATTTGTGTTTTGTTAATTACCCAACACAAAAATGTGTTTTTCGTTTTCTGTCCTTCAGCACCCTTGTGCTCGCCCATTGCCAACTCATCTTTTCTCGTCTTCTGCCTTAGATGTCTTTTATCTCTCTCTACATTTTGCTACAGTTTGTTTTTATTATGCTGATGAATCAGAAAAACTAACAGCACCAGGGGAAGACTGAAGGAGTAGTCAGTCTTGTGCCTTGGTAGCTTGATTTTTCTCGTCCGACGTCCTTGCCCGCCTCTTACCTTTTCAATCCCACTCTTCGTTCTAACCTCACTCTCTCGTTTTCTAACACAACTTATTCCTTCATTGAGCACTTTCTCCATATTGCTTCCTTTCCAACTTTCCCTCTCTCTGTGTCACACTGTAACTTCACATGGACTGTTGGATAATCCCACTAACTGGAACACTTCAACAAATTGGACGATTATTTTTGACAGATTCTCTCCTTCTCATCACACTCTTCTTGCTTCCCTTCTTGTTGTGTCAAAATGTTCGGATGTAGACTGCCTTGATATCCTAGATTCCTTATTCTCCAGTTCTTCTTTCCGCCTCTTCGCTACTTATCTCCTCCCGTCTTTGCCAAGATTCTTCAGACCACTGGTTTTTCTCCTAATCTTTTATATCATGATGCTTGATGACTGTTTCTACTGTTTTCTATTGTTCGTGTTTGCAGAAGTCAACATTTTCTGTACTGAAATCAGGAGGTATTATTTTATTAGATGTATAACTCTGACAGGCACAGGAAGCAGATTTGTGCAAAGCATATTCAAAGGCTTATGCCTTGTAGATTAATATACAGAACTGTGTACTCTCTGAAATCTGTCACCATTCTTTCATCCTGTGTCATACTGATTATACTGTTAGTCTCATGAGTACGTCTTCTTTTCCTGTTTGCTTCTGATTGTTGCAGAAACAGCGTATTGCCGTGTCATCTGGCAAATAACTGTATACATCAACAGTGTGCTATGCAAAAACCGTTTGATCCATCTGATATCATCTATGTTCCTCAAATTCCACATTGAGACTTATTAGGACTGCAGCCATTACTGGGGTCACTAACATTTAAACTACTTAGTTAATGCAGAATTCCATTCAGTTCAGTTATATTTACATAGCACTAACTCAGTGTGCTTTATATTGCAAGGTAAGGACTCAACCATCAGGCATTTACCTGGCAGCAACACTCGGCAACAGTGGGACAAAAGAACTCCTTTTCAACATGAAGATTCCCAGCACAACCAAACTCATTGGGGACAGGTTATGGGATGAGGGGAAAGAGAAGAGGGGAAAAAAGGAGAGCATAGAGACACAAGGACAAAACACAAACTGTGGGAGAAAAGACTGCATTTCATGGCGTTTACTAGCTGAAGGAAGTCATTTTCAGTGCATCATGGGTCATCTTCCAGCAGCATAAGGCAGATTAACAAAGGGATAGGTCAGCGTCACCTGCTGTAGCCCTCACTATGTGCTTCTTCAAAAGGAAAAATAGAAAAATTGTAATCCTGCTTTTACGAGTAGAGAGCGTGTCTGTTTCCCAAATACAAGCTGGGAGATGGTTCCATAGGAGAGCGGTCAGATAACCTAAGACTCTGCCTCCTGTTTTACTTTTAAAACAAACATGCTGTGTGGGAGCCAAATGCTCTGTTTAAATAATGTGATTCTATGAGGTTTCTATGTTGTTTGACTTTTTTTTTAAAAACTTTGTATATCAGGAGAAGTTTATTACATTCAATTCAAGATTTTTAGGGGCAAAAACAATAATCCCAGCTTTGTTTTATTTTAGAAGTGAAAGGTTATAGGTCATCCAGACCTTTGTGTCTTTAAGACATCCATTCACGTGAAGTATTCATTTTTCTGCCTTTTTAGATAATAACAGCTGGGTATCATCTGCATAATAGTGAACATGTATCCAGTGTTTTATGATAACATGACTTCAGGGAAGCATGTATAATATAAAATCCATTGCTTTCAGCACAGAGCTCTGTGGAAGACTGGAATTTAGAAGGAAAGGGCAAATTCAGCTATGTTTTAATTGCCACCAGTAGCCAATATTTGCTTTTTTTATTTTTAAAATGCTTTTAATGATCTCATCTACAAGGGACTTGCAAATGCCTTTCCAGCAATATTAAATAGGGTCCAGCATAAGGTTCTATTTTGCTGCCTTTTTTGGTATACTTTGCTGTCCATTTCATCAAAATGTGTCTCAGTTTTGTATGAGTCAGATGATTGTTGGGACCAGATCATCTGCACTGGTCTTTTAAATAGGCTTTGCCTGATATGTTTTGGTTTCATTTCCCAAAATCAAGCAAAATGGGCCACACTGTGAGTTCTGAATTAATAACCAAGTGTTACCAGCAGAGGGTGAACATCATGGTCAATGCAGACATCCATTTCCCTCTATTTTATTGTGACACGACATGTGAGGGCACCAACTATAAACACATGTTCCCCAAATGGACTGTGAAACAGTATCTGGAATTAGAATAGAAGAATCAGAGAGCCAACAAAGAGCAATGACAATAAAGCGAAATTATGGGTGCTCCACGGCAACTGTGCAGGACTAAAAAAAATACAAATAGTAAAGACATCAGGAATAATTTCCGTCAGTTGTGGGTAACTGAAGACACTACAGTAGAGTACTTGTTTTTATTGGGTGCCCTTGTAATGCAGTGTTTGCATTCAACAAAGTGGATGGCATGCTAGATTAATAAGAAGAACTGGGGTGTCCAAAGCTAATCATGAGAAAAGGTAAGCCCTTGCTTTTGTGGTGTAGCTGGAAGTACCACATTTTAATTTAAACCATGCTTGTAACTAACTCAGGCAGCAAAGGAGCTGTGCTAAAACAATCTTTGAAATCAGCTTGTAAACATATTAGAGGTGCCATTAATAACTGCTCAGACAGTATCTGTTTAAGAAAATCAAATAGTGAGTGAAAAGGGCCAACAAAAGACCAAAAACGGAAATGTTTTTGCATTTGATGTCAAATAGCATTGGATACTGGCAGATAATAATAGCTCTAAGGTGAAATGCTGAAGGTTGTACCTGTGTTTGTGAAATACATCTGCCTCTATTTCATTCAGTCAGTTTATCTGCTTGTCATCTCGTGTCTCGCAAACTAATTTGACAGCTCAATCTTGAAAGCCTGCTGGAGCAGTTGTTGTGTCTGATGTGTTTCTTTTTTGTTTCGTGTCTCTCAGGAGGCCCTCCTGATGTTGGCAAAATGCTTGGTGGGGAGGAAAAGGAAGAGGACCCTGATGCAGCGAAAAAAGAGGAGGAGAGACAGGAGGCACTGAGGCAGCAGGAGGAGGAGAGGAAGGACAAATATGCCAAGATGGAGGCTGAGAGGGAATCGATGAGACAAGGCATCAGAGATAAGGTATAATGAAAAAAATGGATTTTGCTCTGTGGCTAGCTAAGGTAGTCATAAAGTAAAATTTACAGTTTTCAACCCAACAAACAGAACTATAGTAAGTCAGTCAGTCTTGTAAGGAAAACAACCACCAAAACAAAGACAATAAAGAAACAATTAATGCAGAATTAAATAATGTCATCCAATGAGCACTGCTTACTGCGCGAGAGATGCATATGGGCAAAAAACTTGGATTTTTAGAAGCCATTCTCTCTTTTGTTTTTCACGTACCTTCTAAAGGCTTCTCATCTTGGTGGCTTGACAGCACAACTGTTTATTTATATATATATAAAAAACTTGTTTAAAATAGACTACCGTGACATTGTTGTGCTTGCTTTGTGCTATTTTTAAAGCTCTCGTACCCATGAAATAGATCAGTAGATCAGGAAGGAGCTGTAGAGAAGTAAAAAGCTGTTGAAAAATGAGATGAGATTAGATTGATTTAGAAACAGTAATGGTAGCCAGGATACAATTGAAGCTACATATACATTATTAGGCCATTATTTGGACGTTTGTCTTTGTTCCATGATTACACACTGTATTTCTTTTATACAAACTAGTCAGGGCTGTAGAGACGCTGAAACTGCAGTGGCTGCAGTGTAACCACTTCACTGCAGTGTGAAAGGCAGGCAGTCTGTGGGTGGGACAGGTCTGAAGGGAATAGCCCACTGTGAATCAGCGGGTTGAAAAGCAGCACTCCTCCCTTGGTTCGTCACCTCGTCTATACTTCTTAAGTTCTCCCGGAGGAAAACAAAGAGTGAGGAACAGCTCCTAAAGTGCTTGTCACCAAAAGGATACCGTCAGTTTCCTCCACAGCTTCATTCCTTTGTGCCAGATTGTGTGAAAAATGCCCACACTATGTGCATGTCCTTGCTGGAGCATGGCAAAGCTAGCAGTGTCACATGCATAGCTGCTTTATTTTATGATTACCAAATTACTTGACTGACATTTGTCAACCAGAAATGGCATCTTAGAAATGTAGTGTGTAGGCGTCTATAAAAATGTGATTCACAAGAAGCACTCACTCTTTAAAAAGCTGGCTGACAGCGCAATAATACTTCTTTTTCCATGATGTTTTGATTGCAACATGTTTTTTTTTAAATGGATGCTTTTTTTTCTTTGTGTGCTTTTGTCAAATACAAATTTGCAATGTATTTTTTGTCTGAAGTCTTATCAGCAAACTTGTGTTTCTGTTTCAACTCTAGTATGGCTTGAAAAAGCGTGAAGAGGCCGAGGCTGAGGCAGCAGCTGCCCAAGAAGAGTCTGCAGCGGGCAGCTTGACTAGACCTAAGAAGGCTGTGCCAGCTGGCTGTGGTGATGAGGAGGAGGAAGAAAGCATCATGGACACAGTGATGAAATACCTGCCAGGCCCACTGCAAGACATGCTCAAGAAGTAAGCTAGGTAGCTAGCTAACACTATCTAGCTTAGTTCACAGGCTACAGTTACTTTAATTTTGTTTTTCTCCTTTTTCAAACACATCTAAACAAATAACATGAAGTTACATTTTGGCAAGGTGTTATGTTGTTTGGCAAGTCAAGGTTTTGTGATGAAGAAATGCACCAACAGTGTGAACTGCAGCCATTGGACTAAGCTAGGCTGGCTTACCGGCCATGTGAACGTTAGTTATGTTAGAAAGCTAACAGCAAGCAGAGGGCAAAGACAAATGTTAGACGATTTATCCTTCTAGTCTGAGAAGTTTTAAACTCCCTTTTCTGTCCCCTGCAAGGGATGCAAAAGCTTTCTTGCACCACTGGAAAATAATACCCTTGTACACCATATTCATTCAGTTTGTACATAAATAAGGCAGTGCATAACAACCCTCCATGTGGGCAAAAAAACAATCAAAAATATTATATATTAAAAATATTATTCTGTATGTCTGTCTTTAAAAGAAAAAAAGTAATAACTTGATAAGCCATATTTTAAAAAGGAACTTTAAAGACTACTCTTGTGTGCTCCTAAAGCTCGTTTTATGTTCAGCCTTGTCTAAAATTAATGTGAAACCTTTTGCACACAATGTTAAAATCTCTGTAAAACCTGTCGTCTACTTTCCCCACACACTCCCACAATGCCCTTCATGTAGTATAGTGTTTAAAATGTTTCCATTCTCACATTCTGTGTCTCTTCACGTCCTGCATGCCATTTGTCTGTAAGAGTTAGTCGTGTGAATATGTGCTCCCATCATCTCGGTCTCCTTTTATCCTCTTTGTTATCATGCAAAAAATAATATGGCAATAACACCTGAGTTTGACTGTGTTTTCATGTCTATATAGCCGTTAATATTATTAGTAATAAAAAGAAATATATATATATAAATAAATATGTATGCTTTCAGGAAGTTTAATTTACATGTTTGCAGGGTTTTTCTTTTTTTATTTTATTGTTTTGATGAAGAATGACTGCTTGGCTGTTCATATAATAGCCAAAAACCTTAAGCTTTCAGCCATAAAACCAGAATTTACAGTATATATACTATTACCATCAGGATCACTTAAAAGGGAAAGAATAATAACAAAACAGTGTGAATAAAAAAAAATGTGTTTTTGAATAAGCAGCGTTGAGCCGAGAGTGAATTATAAGACCAGGTTTCGCATTATACAATGATTTGTGAGAAAAAGACCGCCTTCCCTCGATACGCACAGACACACAGTGAATACTGCAGTTTGCCTTCTAATTTAGCTACACAGAAAAAAGCTGGTGTGTTTTCAAAGACGATTTAAAGTGATGCTTGATTCAGTTTCTTATTGTTGGCTTAGATGTGATGATGGTCCAATGAGGTTGCCATGAGCAATAAAGGTTTATCATGTATGTTTCTGCCTGAGATTCAATAAAAACTTAAAACCTTGTTCACACATAAAAGCGTGTCGCTGTCTTATTTGTGATATTCCATATTTAAATCATGATGGTAAGTTGCACTTTACAGTCTCAGTATACATGCAGTATTTGTTAGATTGGAACAATTAAGAAGTTCTGAACGGTACAATAATAGAATATAAATATGTGTTTTTGTTTGCCATGTTGAATTTCACCAAATTAACAAAAACTAAAGACCTTCCTTCTTGAATTTTATTTCATTTGTTACTTTTGTAATAATAAAATTCCTTTTCCATTCCACAATTATCAGGGATTGTAACATCTAGCCCTTTTACTGAATCAGTCTCATTTTTATTTTTTATCACGATGAACTAAAATCGTTTTAGTTTAGTCCAGTTAACTGTAATAATAACCTTGTACTGAAACAAATGATGCATAAAACTGTAATTTTTCCCTCCAATGAAATTAAAATAATTTTTTTTTCCAGATCATTCTTACAACCTCCCTGGAATGACAATGAGAACCTGTAATTTTTCATAAATATGACATATGACATGTGGATTTTTTCCTTGTTGCTGTATAAAATCAATTGCAACCAAGCGCCACCATTGAGGACCGTAGCCAAGAGAGCCAAGAGGGATGGAAAGCTTCACCAGCTTGGTGTAATTCTTCTCTTTCGCCACAGAGTGGCACTGTGGGCCCTGCGGTCTTTGTATCAAATGTGCTGATGGTGTATAAACAAAGACAATTTTCAAGCTTTATTTAATTCATAAAACAGAACAAAAAAAATGTGAACTATCTATGAAAAAACCGAGTCAAGCAGTACAATATGAAAAAAGCCCTACACAGGAGAAAAGAACATGACACACAGAGACTGTGAGAGCAGAGTCCTCTTTCACTTTTAGCTTTCAATTCTTCATCTTTATAATGAAGATATCGACCATTCACTGGACATTGTTACTGTGTCAGTAACAATGTGGTGATAAATAATAACACTGAATGTGTTATTAGCCCTTAAACATGCAATCAGAATTTTGAGCAAGAGTTGTTCACATTAGGAAGACAAACGTTTCCTAAAACAAATAATTCATCGACAGCTAATAAAAGCTAACAAACCATCCTGTGATTTCTACTGGAACTGTTCTAATTCCTGCTTATATAACAGCTACCTCTACTTTTCCCTCATTGCACTGCTGATTTTTAAAGTTATGAGAAATCCCGCTATCTGCTCCAAAGTATACAGCAGCATAAAATCAACATTTATTCGGGTGTTTTTTTGGCCTATGATGAGAACCATTTCATTTTGATCTCCAAAGGATTACGGTGCAATACCATATCTCTGATTTGCAGTACCTGTCATAGCCAGACATGCTTGTAAATAGTCTGTTTTTCATACGAATAAGGGGGATTGTTATAGTCTGAAAGCTGCAAAGACATGAAAGGTTTCCTGCATACAAAAATACAACAAACCTGGATTTAGGGATTAATGTGAAACCTGTAGTAAAAAAGTCATTTCATACCAAAACACACATTGTAGCTCCAGTAAATACAAATCAACAGAAACAATCAACAAACCAGACCTGGCTGAAAGTGTAAAACAGATCCATTCAAATATTCACAAGTTGCTTGGGTTAATATAATCTGGTGACTGTAAGCAAAAACCCTCTTGCCACTCGGCAGCTATGTAACATTTATTCTAAAAAACTGCATGTAAAGAATCTCATCAAATTATGTTTAAAATTTTTACATTTCTTTGCAGATTTTGTCCCATCACAAAGCTTTTTACTCTCTGGGAGTTTTTTTTCTAACACCATCTTTAGTTTTGGGAATTTCTCTCAGAATTTGTTGAGCTTCTTGTCTCTCTCTCTCTCTCTCTCTGGCGCTCTTACAATGCCGCTGCTGTAAACACTTCTATATAACAGTGCCGTATTCGCTGGATATTTAAAGGAAAATATAAAGCACATTACACTGGCATTTGAATATTGCACATTAACAGGCAGCGAGTGCTAATATAAACACTGGATAACGTCACAGTGTAATTTGACAGTACATTTTCTTTTACAGCAACGTTTTTACTACTGGTTATTTGATTATCCAGCATAATCAAACCAAGTCATATGAATGGCTTCTGACTCTTTCCCAGGTCTGTTTCAATAAATACGTATGTAGTGACAAATCTCACAGTTGCCAGGTTTATACAGCCATTTGTAAATTGCTCAAGAATCTGTGTAGCTCAGTATCGAAATGAGTCACTAAATACTTTTTTTCACACTGAAAAATGAAAAGAGAAAAACATCAGAAGATGGGGGCAAAACCAGATGTTCATTTTTTTTCTCAATTCAATTTAAATGAATAATCTGACATGGCAGAAATTCGTAGTCTTGTAAGGTGTCCTGGAAGCAACAGCAGTAGTGACAACACCAGTCATTTACAGCACAGTAGTAGTAATAATAATAATAATAATAATAATAACTATTAAAATTCAACTCAGCAGACTGCTAAAAGTTGCCCATCACTTTTCATATGGGACCACATTCAAAACCAGACCTTAAGCCCTTCACTGAGGTCTAAACACTCGATGAAGCATTGAAAGACTCAAAATTACAGAGTAGGAGTTGGTTTGTACAAAAAGCTGCAGTTATAGCTGTCCAAGCCTAGAAAATATGTCAAAATGCAAACTTCAGAGCACAAAGTAATAATATTAATGTCACTTTTTTTGTTGTTGCATGCACTGGAAACTCAGAAGGATCTGTTAATTAATCCAAATGGATCATTTAACATTTACTAAGTAAAAGTCTGTGAGTGAAAAAGTTCAGACACTGTCTCTGAAACCAAAACAATTGAACCTGATAGAGTGGAAGGGGGTGACAGATGGCAGGAGTTGAAGGTAGCCCTGGTTTCTACACATTTGTCCGACACTTTGGGAAAATGGGTCCTCCTTCAAGCCTTCTCTTTCTTACTGTAGACAGAGGGAAAATGGAAGGTTACAGGAGAAAGAAAGATGAAAGACAACATCAACCTCATCATCTTAAGCAACAGCACAGCAAAGCTGACCTCTTTAACTGACAGGAAGCAAGATAGCTGACAAAAAAAGCAAGGCAAAAAGAACATCACAACAAATTGGTGGCTGCAACGTGTAAGAAGAGTTCTTTGTGAATAAATACACA